GATGTGAAAGGAATTACTGCAATGTGGCAATTCGAACCTCTACTATGGCAAGACCTCCCCAAAAATATCACACTGAATGGTAACCAAAGCGATTCAGCAGTATTAACAGGATAACATTCCCACTTTCTCTCTCCTATCTCCTTTCTCCACATAGCTCATCCATTAGAACAACTAGACTTCCTCCATCGTAAATCCAGATATAAAACCAGGTTGAAAAGAATTTAGATAATCCATTCATTCAATTCAAGAGTGCAAATGGCATAGCATGTAGGGGTTTCGTGTAAGGATCTTGAGCCCTTTGGAATGCATAAGATACAATGGTTCAATTTTTTGCATTTTGATGTTTTAATGAAATTAAATGGCAACATGGACGCTTTAAGCCTGGTAGAAAAATGTAGCCTTACTCTGCTAACCTCTCTCTTCAAGTTCCACTTCCATCTGTTAAAAAAAAAAAAAACACCACAACCCAAACGTTGCACTATTTTCTCTTTATCAGTAGAGGGAGATATAAGCCAAAAGAGATAGAGTGAGGGTGATAAAGAGAGAAAGATTCAATATAGCTACTGATGAAAATAACAGCCCAAGCTTCTGATAATTTTAATTTTACTATTATAGAAATATGGAAATAATAACATAATTTAAATTAAAACAGTAAAATGAAATATGATCCTGGCCAACATTGCTTTATGAGCTTCAACATATCACACAGAATTTGTACATGTCAAACAGAAGGTGTAACTCCTTGACCTAAAAATTGGGAGCGGCAGGCCACTACTTTCTTCATCACATTGCGCATATAAAAAGATTTCAAATTGGCAGTGGACTCTTCAGCACTGCCTTTGTTAAGCAGTATGAATAAACTCTTGTCTGCAAGAAATAACTATTAATCAGCAGATGATCACTGGTAGCACAGAGTCTTGAGGCTCTTTATATTTAGTTTTGGGGAAGGCTTCCATTTGTAAGTAATAGTTCAGATAGATCCAGGAGCTTCTCTAATTCCTTGGAGATAAACTATTTAATGGGCTCAGACATATTTTATTAACTACTAAAGTTATAGTATTATTCAAATAATATAAATACAGTACAAACCAAACAGATTTTATTTATGAAACTTTTCATAGCTAATATATTTGAATGCTTACCAGAACTAATAAAGATCAGGTCATTGTTCTGATCATCTAACAGGATTCTTTTGGTGATTCTTTTTTTTTTTTTTTTGCTTTAATTTATATGCTGCCCTTCTCCGGAGACTCAGGGCGGTTTACAATGCGTTAAGCAATAGCCTTCATACTTTTGTATATTTATACAAAGTCAGCTTATTGCCCCCACAATCTGGGTCCTCATTTTACCTACCTTAGAAGGGATGGAAGGCTGAGTCAACCTTGAGCCTGGTGAGATTTGAACTTGCAGTAATTGCAAGCAGCAGATGTTAATAACAGTGCTTTAGTCCACTGTACTACAGGCTCTTCAATGGATGGAATCAAGGAATAGCCTCAGTTTCTCTTCTACACCATTCTAATCAAGGAAGAGATTCTGCCTGGATCATTCTTAATCAGATTCAGTCTTCGACCTGCACCATGATTGCTGTGCTCCCCTACTCCCCTCTCTCTCTCTTGCTCACACACACACACACACACATACAGACACACACAGACACACACAGCGAGAGTTCTAAAGGTGTTTATTCAACCCGCCCAAACAGGTCCTCAGAAAGTACCCACATTGTGCAGATTTGGATTCGGAGTTCAGCACGACAAGAGTCACTGGGTAAAACAAGTCTAACAGGCACACAGGAAGTCCAGGGAAGCAATCCACAAGTCAAATGGGTCAGGACACATGGCACAAACACATAAGGCATGGAACTGGGCACGTTGCTCCACCGACACTCAAGTCCTTGGGGTGGGATTAAGTAGGCGATGCTGGTGTGGCCCTTCACAAGGAGTGAGGTTGTCTCCTCATGTGTAGTCTAGCTCATCGGCATTGCGCCTGTTTCCTCTCTGCCCTACATGTCCTTGGATTGGGAGGAGGTGTGGACTCCATCTCCTCCTTGTCACTAATGGGGACAACTGCTTCCAGTCCTTCTCTGAAGCCTCCTGGCCAACTGACTGCAGCTGCAGCGTGCCTTGCTCAGCCACAGCCTGTCATTCGTCTGATCAGGCTGAGGCTGCTTCCATCAGGTTAGCACTCTCTGAGCCTCACACCCGGAGAGGAGTCCAGGGTCAAATTCATGACACTTGCTTAAGCTTACACTTCATCACACACAATTATTTTATATAACACGCTGCAAGGGATAATGGAAGAATTACCATGTCAAGTACCAAAAACACCTGCTGTTACTTATAAATTGGGTACCAAGATCTTCTGGTACTTAACATGGTATGGCCAGCCAGATAAAAAAAAAACTTCACCCAACACTATTTAAAACCTATCATGTTCTGGGGATTACTTTGTCTAATCTTGCCTTTACCCGAATAAAAAGGAATATGTTGTAATAGCAAAATCCTTATCAAGTATTGATCCACTCATAGCATGTTTTTCACTTCTATGTCTTTCATATATGAACTTTCCTTTTCAGAACAAATAGCAATTTGAGTCTATGACTTGCCCATAGCTTCTGAAATTATTAATCTGAAGCCCATGAAAGTCACAACATTTTGATTCACCTCTTTTGAGTGCAAAAGCCTTAGAGCTTCTTCCACATCTCTGGAATTGCCCATTTGGCTATTTGTGTTAGAGCAGCACTGTCAAACTTGAGGCCTGTGGGCCGGATTCATCATGTGCTGGCCACGCCCATGCCCGGTTTAGCGAAGGGGAAAAAGGTCCCGATACGTCACGTGACGACACCGTGACAGGTTTGACACCCCTTTGTTAGAGGAAGTAAAAGTAGGAATAACGGTAACTGAATGGTCCCATTTCTCTTAACATTATTTCTTCTTCTACTTCTCATGAAGAAGAAATAATGTTAAGAGAAATGGGACTCTCAATTTGGCAAAGTTTCTATTGAATCACCTCATTGGAATAGGTATTGGAATTAAAACAAGGATCTGCTTTGAAGCACTCTTAAATAAGGAACCTGCGAAAAGTAGTTTGCAAGTAAATGGCTCTTCTGTTGTCTCTGGGGTAATCCTGGAATTGTATATTATTGCAGACAACTGTAGTTCCATATTTGGAGATTGAGAAGATGAGTTAAGCAGAGTGATGGATTCTCAGAATGACCTTTATCACCTCACTAAACCTTCTGCCTATCAAAACTCTTTTGAGGTGGGAAGAATACATTTGACTTCATTCATTTTCTCACCTCTTAGTTTCTTGAACATGGCCAGCTGGGAGCCTTAACTTTATTTCCTCTTGGGTTAGCAGAATGTGACACTTTTATTCTAGTTCTGTCAACAGTTGGAGTTCAGTTTGGCATTCTGTATAAAGATTCAGGGCTCACCAATATAGTGTATGTGCTTGGGTCAAACCATTGTGTGTTAATATTGTCATTCTCCCTCTTTATTATACAGAAGAATTTCTTGCAAAAAATGTATTATTCTTAAGCTTGTAAAAGTTAGAAAAACAAAAAAGCCCTAGATTGTTATATTTTCTGTAGATCCCTAATGTACCAAGTCACACTTTCAAAAACACACTAATTTGAAGAGATAAATAAACACACACACACACACACACACACACACACAAATACATATAATATATACATGCACACACAAGCAAAATATCAAAAGACAATGTTCAAAGCATACAATTATTTTTTTTAAAAAAAATCATGATTGCAAAAATAACCTTTTAAAACACCAACATTTACAATTTTGAATTACCCATAAAGTTTCAAAGGAGAGTAATTACGTATTGTTACAGCTCCAAAGTAAAGAGGGGATGGGGTGTGTGTCGAAAAATGGGTGAACCACCCCTCTCCTAAAAAAAAAAAACCTAACAACTTTTTCTGATCCAGATAACTGTTAATATGTTCCTTCTCTCTAGAGATTCCTCCAGCTATTTAATTAAAAAAAACATTGAACACTACTTCTGCTGTTTCTAAGTTTCATGAAGAAATGGAGCTGGATCAAAGCCAGAACAAAATTATTTTATGGCTTCAGGCTTTTGAATACCTTCCCAATATTCTGGCAGCAAACAGAAAATAGAACATTTAATACGATACTAAGCATTTCTTTCTTTGGCTACCTTTTTGGGATGGAAGGAACAATGCCATACCATCTTCCTGTGGTCAGAAAAAGTATTTGACTCATACAAACCCAGCTCCTGATGCTTCTGAGCTTTTTGAAGGATTTTTTATTTATCAATCATTACAATTCTTTGAATGATCACCTATGACTCCATTCACATAGGTAACACATTTCTACAGATCCCATTCAGAGCTGTTTAAAAATTGCTCGTCTTATACACATACCAAGTGACCTACACAATACATCTGAGGAACAGTGAGATCATCGGAGATCAAGCAAGGTAGAAAGGTCAGTTGTGTGGATTCATGGATGACGGTTCAGTGAACTGCAGTTATAGGTTGATCACCAATTCTTCATCACTATCTCTGTGATTCACACAACTAGTAAAGTAACAACCTTCTTACCTAGAAAAAGATCTGATAATAAAGTGACACCTCATCAGGAATCAAAAGTCTGTCTATAATACAAAATGAAGATGGAAAACTGAGCCTGTGTGTTTGTGCAGTGTAACTCATCATAGGGGAATATACTCAGTGAGGACCAATGATGCTGAGTAGAATAGCAACTCATAGCAAAGCTTTTGTATGATTGTGTTTCCAAGTATGTAAGCTTGGTTCGTAACATTTGATTAGCTTTCTGTAAATTTGTTATAGCATTTCAGTAAGTGATTGCTTGTCCATTAATTGGGAGCTACTACTTTCTAATTTATTAATTCTGGATTGAGTTAATCAGCATACACTTAAAACATTTCTCTCCAAATTGCCATTCTTTTATATCTACAATATTTTTATTCATTAGTTTCAAATAAAACATTACCCTTTCATCTTCTTCGTCGGTAGATGAAGGAGAAGATAGTGTTGTTGCCACCACCGCTATGCCGTGATGGACACTGCTTTTCAGTCTTGGATTTTCCTTTTTTTGAAGACATCTAGACAACCTGTAAGCTATTTCCTAATAAAATCAATAAAAACAAAATTTAGTCACCTGCTTAACAATTTAAACCCACAATTCTTTAGAAGAAAATAAAGCAAAAATCAACAGAAGCAGTTAATTGTGCAGATATTTTGGCCAAATATCCAATTTACTCTATTCATGCAATTTAGAGTATTTGAAGGCCAAGATAAATGTTACATAGAAACCATATGGAAGCTTGTCTCAACAATTGTTTTTGTTATTGTTTTAATAGAAATCCATTTTAGTTCTAATTAAAGGGTTTATATATACAAACAATTGGATTTCCTTTCAGATATAGATTCCCCATCTCTCAATCCCACCACCAGAGAACATTCTGAAATAAAAACTAGGTGCAACATACACATAGTTTGGCTTTGTTGTGTATTTCTTCTGCAAACGAAAGGGGAGATAAATAGGCAATCATCCTTTGCCCTGATTAGATGCCTTCACTTTCTTCAACAATTCATAACAGAAGTAAAACTCATAATTACATCATTTCTTCCTCTTTCATTCAAATGCCATTGCAAATAGTCCTCAACTTTTGACCATTTATTTAGAGCAGGAGTGTCAAATTTGCAGCTTGCGGGCCAGATGCATCATGTGTTGGTCACGCCCACCCCCAGTTTAATGAAGGGAGGAAAAGTTGTGATACATCACGTGATGACATGACACTGCAAGTTTGACACCCCTGATTTAGAGATTTTTCGAAGTTAGGACAGTATTGAAAAAAGTGACTTACAACCAACACAGTGTCCCTGCAGTCACATGATCACTATTTGCAACCTTCCCAGATAGCTGCCAACAAGCAAAGTCAATGGGGAAGCCAGCATGGAATGTTACAAGTCACAGTCATGTGATGTCTCACTTAATGACCATATGGCTCACTTAACAACTACAAGAAAAAGGTAGCAAAATGGGGTGCAGTCACATGATGACCTTAATGACCACACTGCTGATGATCACTTAATGACCACACTGCTTAATGATGAATTTTCCAGTTCTTATTGTGATTGTAAATTGAGAACTACCTGTAGATCTATATTGGTTCTGAAAACCTCCAACAATGTCTGTCTCAATTAAACAACTGCGAATGGAGAGTGAGCGTATTCTTTCATGCTTTTAATACAAATAAGACATACTGCATCTCAATTGCAACATTTGTTTTTCTCTCTCCCACTCAGACTTAAAGGATGCAGTCTACCATATCTGGTAGATCTCTTAATCTACCAGGGAATCTTTTCAGGAATTACATGGGGATGTATTGAAAATCAAAGGAGTGTAAGATTTATTCAGCAAGTTTATTTTTTGGTTATGTGGCATTAGACTTTAATGCTGAATTTTAACTTATAGAGGTGGAATTTGTAGCAACAGGGACAGTGAAGGAATATATAAACACCATACAAAGTACAGTATAAGCCATTTCACCAAATTTTAGCATGTATTTAAGAAGCTTCCATAAAGCTTCAGGCCCCGGGCCTTCAGTTGATGTTGTGCAATGCCAGGTCCGTGGTAAATAAAGCCCGCCTCATTTGTGATTTGGTTCAGGAGGGGTGTGTGGACCTGGTGGGTATTACGGAGACCTGGTTGGGCCAGGAGGGGGGGTTTCCCCTCGTTGAGATGTGCTCACCAGGTTTCTACACATTCCATCAGCCGAGGTCCCAGGGGAGGGGCAAGGGAGTGGCGGTTCTTGTAAAGGAAGGACTTGTTCCGAGGGAGGCCACTGTACCTCAGATAGCCGGATGTGAGTCTCTCCTTGTGAAGTGGGGACATGGGAGGCAGTTGGGCTTGCTGATCATGTACCTGGCTCCCTGCCACATGTCGGCGGCCCTGCCCGAGCTGCTCAACATGATTGCCGAGGTGGCGGTGGAGACCCCCAGGCTTATGGTCATGGGGGACTTCAACTTGTCATCTGTAGCAAGGCGTCTGAGGTGGCCCGGGAGTTCATGGCTTCCATGACGGCCATGGACCTGTCCCAATTAATCCATGGACCCACTCACATGTGAGGACACACTCTGGACTTGATTTTTGTCTCTGGTCAGTGGATGAATGATCTTGAGATAGGGGAGATAGTGATTGAGCCCTTGTCATGGTCAGATCATTCCCTTCTTAGGCTTGACTTTCTAACCACCACAGGGAGGCGGTTAACACCCTGCCGCAGGGAGGTGGAACAGACAAGATGGTTCCGCCCCAGGCGCCTGATGGATCCTGATAGGTTCCAGACGGAGCTTGGGCCATTTCCTGAGGCTCTGACCCAGGCTCGACTGAAGAGCTGGTGGCCACCTGGGATATGGCGGCCGCCGACGCTTTGGACTGAGTCGTGTCTTTGCGGCCTCTGACCCGTCGCCGAGTTTACCTGGCTCCTCGGATCTCCGAGGAGCTGAGGGAGATGAAGAGCCAGAAAAGATGCCTGGAGAGCGGTTGGAGGGCCAGCCACTCCGAATCTGACCGAACACTGGTGAGGTCTCATATTAAGACCTACCTAGTGGCAATAAAAGCGGCAAAATGTAATTATTTTTCCGCTCTTATCGCATCTGCAGATAACTGCCCAGCTGCCCTGTTTAGGGTGACCCACTCCCTTCTCCACCTGGGAGCATGGGAGGATCCCTTGCAGGGTCGGGCTGAGGATTTTGTCCAGTATCTGCACGATAAAATCACTCAGATTCGGAAAGGCTTGGTCTCTGACTGGGTAGGTACAGATGAGATGACTGAGGCAGGTCTTGAGAATGTCATTTGGGAGGAGTTCGACCCTGTGGCTCCCGAGGACGTGGACAGGATCCTGGGACAGCTGAATGTGACATGTTTATTGGACCCGTGTCCCTCCTGGTTGGTGCTGGCCTCTCGGGAGGTTACACGAGGCTGGCTCCAGGGGATTATTAACGCTTCTCTGAGTGAGGGTGTCTTGCCTTCCACCTTGAAAGAGGCGGTGGTGAGGCCCCTCCTCAAGAAGCCCTCTCTGGATCCGGCTGTTTTGGCTAATTACTGTCCAGTCTCCAACCTTTGCTTTGTGGCGAAGGTTGTTGAGAGTGTGGTGGCGCGACAGCTTCCACGGTACCTGGATGAAGCTGTCTATCTAGATCCGCTCCAGTCTGGCTTCAGGCCTGGGCACAGCACAGAAACGGCATTGGTCGCATTGGTGGATGATCTCTGGAGGGCTCAGGATAGGGGCTGCTCCTCTATCCTGGTCCTGTTAGATCTCTTAGCAGCTTTTGATACCATCGACCATGGTATCATGCTGCGCCGGTTGGAGGAGTTAGAGGTGGGGGGGTACCGTTTTACGATGGTTCTCCTCCTATCTCTCTGACCGGTCACAGTCGGTGTTGGCAGGGGGGCAGAGGTCGACCCCGAGCGCCTTGTTTGTGGGGTTCCGCAGGGGTCGGTCCTCTCACCCCTCCTGTTCAACATTTATGTGAAGCCGCTGGGTGCGATCATCCACAGATTTGGGGTGGAGTTCCATCAGTACGCTGATGACACTCAGTTGTACATCTCCACCCCAGACCATCCCAATGATGCCCTTGAAGTGATGTCCCGGTGCCTGGAGGCCGTGCGGGTCTGGATGGGGAGAAACAGGCTCCGACTCAACCCTTCGAAGACTGAATGGCTGTGGCTTCCGGCATCCCGATATAGCCAGCTGGTGCCATCGCTGGCTATTGGGGGCGAGTTACTGGCCCCCACGGAGAGGGCCCGCAACTTGGGTGTCCCCCTGGATGCACGGCTGTCTTTAGAAGAGCATATGACGGCCGTGGCCAGGGGGGCTTTTTATCAGGTTCGCCTGATTCGCCAGTTGCGCCTCTTTCTGGATCGGGACTCCTTACGCACGGTCACTCAGGCACTCGTCACTTCTCGCCTGGACTACTGTAATGCTCTCTACATGGGGCTCCCCTTGAGAAGCACCCGGAGGCTCCAACTGGTGCAGAATGCGGCCGCGCGGGGGATTATGGGAGTGATGGGGCGCTCCCATGTGACACCTCTCTTGCGCGAACTGCATTGGCTCCCGGTGGTCTTCCGGGTGCGCTTCAAGGTTTTGGTTACCACCTTTAAAGCGCTCCATGGCTTAGGGCCTAGGTACTTACGGGACTGCCTTCTGCCACCGGTAGCCTTCCACCGGCCAGTACGCTTCCACAAAGAGGGACTCCTCAGGGTGCCATTGGCCAGACAATGTCAGCTGGCGACCCCCAGGTGGAGGGCCTTCTCTGTGGCAGCACCGGTCCTTTGGAACGACCTGCCCCCGGAGATATGTAGGATCCCAGATCTCCGTGCTGTTCTCCGTGCCCTTAAAACTTTTTTATTTCATCAAGCTGGGCTGGCTTGACCCGCCCCCCTTAGATATTTTTAATTGCTAAATTGGTTTTAGTTGGGATATTTAAAATTTTATTGGGCCAATACTAGTTTAATTCTTTTAAATTTTTAAATTTTGTATGCGCTGTTTTTATCTTTGGCTGTGCACCGCCCTGAGTCCAGCAGGAGAAGGGCGGTATAAAAATCGAATAAAATAAATAAATAAATAAAATAAATAAAGGTTATTTGATTGTACTGTTTGACTTGACTGTTAAGCAAGATTTTATATACATACTCTATCATATAATTTTGTATCAGGCACTAAGTGTGTGTGTGTGTGTGTGTGTGTGTGTAATTTCATATGATATGGAGAAAATAACCCGGTAGATTAGAGAGGCTGAGTCAATAGACTCCTTATTCTGCTGCCCTACATTCCTGATATGTTTGGTTTTGAGGATCTCTCTGGATGCTGCCTTTAGGGGGCTTTAATTCATGCCAAGGCCACCTCATCAGGATTTCTAGATTATTGTAAGACATATACAGGTAAACAGTTTTGATTTTGTGTTACTATTCTGTAATATTGCAGGGTCAATTAGAACAGTGTGCTATTGTACAAAGACTGATGAATCCACAAAGTTCATAAGTGCTCTACGATTGGTTGAAAATGCAATTTTTAAAAAATGAGTTTTTGTTGAAGCTTTAGCTATGTGTCAGATTGAGCT